AGCCTCCATGCGGCACTGCATCTCTGAAACGCCGCGGAGAACCTGGCTCCAGGCTCTTGGCAGCGTTTCAAAGCAGCAGCACCACACAGAGCCTGGGGTCAGCAGAGGAGTCCTCAGCTGAACCTGGGCTCCACACGGCTCTTTCTCCTTTGAAATATAGCAACAGTCCTAGAGCGCCCTATCAGCTAAACGAATAGTCAATGCAAAATGCACTGACTATTCGATTAGTCAGTCAGTCAATATTTAACATCCTTAGCTAGTACCTGCCCCACTTCCAGGGAAACCTCCCCTAGGAGCAGGGTTGGTGGCAGCAAAACCTCCCCCAGCAGGCGTGGAACCCACTGCAGTCACCTCCTGTGCAGGTGCAGATAGAATGTTTTCATTTCAGTCACAGGCTGAACCTCTCTAACCTGGGACTCTGGTGCAGCAACATCCGTGGTCAGGCAGGATCATGGATGTTCCTGGAACAGAGAGTCCCAGTGGAGAGCCGGTGGCCAAGAGCCCTTCCAGGGGTGGGAACCCAGCCAGTTGGGTGGCAGGGGGCCAGCAGCTGGGAGCCCTGCCGTGGGATTCCAGCTTGGGCTGGGGGAAGAGGGACTGCCGTCCAAGAGCTCGGTGGGGTGGCAGAAGAGCAGACTCCAACAGAGGATCATGGATGTTCCTGGAACAGAGAGTCCCAGTGGAGAGCCGGTGGCCAAGAGCCCTTCCAGGGGTGGGAACCCAGCCAGTTGGGTGGCAGGGGGCCAGCAGCTGGGAGCCCTGCCGTGGGATTCCAGCTTGGGCTGGGGGAAGAGGGACTGCCGTCCAAGAGCTCGGTGGGGTGGCAGAAGAGCAGACTCCAACAGGGCCAGCTCCTGAATTGACTTTCCCTCATCCACCAAACTCTCCTGTTTGGCACTGGTCAAGTCCCGAGGGTGCTGGATCAGGGAGGTCCAATCTGTATATAAACTGGCTCTGTTGAATGATTAAGGGCATAACTACACTATATCATTGCTGCGGCACCGCTGTGATGTGGGCAGCGTAATCATGTTTTACCAGTGTGGAAGAGCTCTCGTGGCAATAAAAAAGTCCACTCTAAAGGAGGGGTGAGAGCACTAAATCAAATTGGCTAGGGGTGTGTTTTTTCATACCCCTGAATGACTATAAGTTTTAGCACTGAAAGTGGCACTGTAGACAAAGCCTAGTTCATTCAGCACTAAGAAACCAATTGAAAACTTGAAAAAGCAGGAAATCTTGTTTTCCTCTTGCATTCTTAGAACAAAAACTAGGCAAAAAAGAGATCAATCTATTATTCTAAAATCTTGAATCTTGACCAGAAACAAATCAATTCAGGTAACTATAGATAATATTTCCTTTGTTTGATAAATTACTTGATTTTAAATGTAAGCGCATGTGGATGAGCTTCTTAATACATAAGAAAAAGAAAGCGTATCCAGCATCGTAAAAGTAGTTTTTATTTAATACAACAAAATTGAAATGTGCATTTTAACTGAATTTACACCCAAATAGAGCTGACACAAATCAAAAGTAAAAATGATTATCTAGTAAATAAGATGTGTCATTCACAATTTTCTAACCTAATCACAAAGGTAAAAATTAAGACTCTGAATAAATGTAAATTAATCTAAACAATTCTTAAATAAATGTGTCTACATGTGTGTATCCTCCAGATTAGCAATAAGAAGCACAAAATGTAGTGAAAAGGCTAAGCAGCTACAAATCAACATGTTTTAATGGGAACTAAAAAGAATGAACAAAAATAACTAGAAAGTTCAAATGCAAAACAAGAATAAAATCAGCGGTTTAAATCAAGGTTTCCTGCTTGCTGATTTAAATGACAATTAAAATCAGTGATTTAAAAAAAAAAAACTTGATTTAACTCAATCCACCCTGATCAACACATACCTTTATTCTGTGAGGATAGTTGTTCTGGTGATATTTCCCAACACTCCCTCAAATATCCTAACCTTGTTTGAAGTGTAGCCTATACTTGTAGGAAGCTATGCAAGAAAAAAAACAACACAAAGATTTAATGTGGAAACTGTTCTGCTCATTTTACCTATGTTACCACATTCCTAGTCCCTCATTCTTTATTCTTAAGAACAGACATGGAACCAGAATAAACAGTTCTTTGGCAAAGATGGAAAAGGCCATGCAAAAGATATCAGATACAGACTTTATACATAAAGGTATAAATACCTTCCCCTCTCACACACATGTATAACCCTAACACTGAAACACAACCAGCTCAGAGGTGGAGCTAAGGGACAAACCAATGAAGAGAGAAAGGGTATTTTGACTAGAATACACAAGCAGATGCCTGTACTATTAAAGAGTAGCACAGGGTTTTGAAATCTACAAAAGCCAGAGAGGACCTTAGTTTGTAAATCTGATCCTGAAGATTACAGTCTATTATGTGTATCCTCGTCCTATATAGAAGGATGAAGAGCCAGCAGCAAAAATGGTTTCTCAGCATTTCAAACAGCCATTCTGTCTGACATTCCTTTATTTTCTAATTAGAGAGAGAGAGTTGGGACAGCCATAAACTGCATATGAACATGGCTGAAACTACATTACACAAAGAGTATACAGATAAGTTGACATACTCATGAGCTCCAAGTAAGTAATTCCATTCAAGAGCTCTGATTAACACCCCAAACCACAAGCACTGTTCAAATTACAAACTTTTTTTGTAACTCATGACAGCCCTTTTGTATATACATTTTTAAATCCAATAATGTGTTTTAGGGTTCAAAACATATTACAAAAGACATTCCTCTCTGCAGCCCCCAAATAAAATTGAAGTTGCAACAGTCACAATTCACGGTGACAATACTTATAACAACAATTTGCTTTTACTCACTCCAAATACAGTGTAAATGTTCATCCATTCCCTGCAAGATGCATATGCAATATTCTTGCCATTTTACAAATGGAGCGAGACAGAGGGAGATTAAGTGACTTTCCCTAGGCCTATGCACCGCCACAAGGCTCCATATGCTAGCAGAAATCTGCTCATGCAGGTTGGATTGCAGGATGAAGGCAGAAGTTAATGTCAGAACTCAGGAGTTCTTGAGCTCCACTAGCTTATGCTGTATGATAACTATCCACCAATTTGTCTTTTCAAATGTTTCCTCTTATCAAAGCCTTTGCAGAGGGGAACCCTTTTAGGCATTCAAAATCATGGGAGCAATGTAGAGAACCCAAGGGGTTAGGAACCAAGAAAGCACAGCTCCAATAAGAAAACTGAGCTTCGGCCATATACACAGTATGAACCTAAGACCAGATACCACTGATGTCATCTCAAGACACCTAATTTGAACCCTGAATGGTTGAGCTGGGTCTGGACTTGGCAGTTCCACATCTTGTGACACACTGTAATTTTCCACTCGCAGTGCTGTATGCCCACAAGCATTTATATCAGGGGAAAAAAATCAGGCTACCTACATCTTGCTAACAGAGGAATGTGGATGTTCAAAGACAGCACAGTATTCAAATGTTGATATCACAGGCAATGAGTACCATACCAACTACATATTAAGTAGGTATATGAACAAAATGCTCTAATGGGTCATATCTGCAAAAATGTTTTTTATTTTTAGTATTTGTACTTCAGTACTACCTAGAAGCCCCAGGCAAGGGCTAACTCCACACTGTGTTAGGGGCTGTACAAATACAGAATAAAAAGGCATAACTAGGGTGCACACATCCTGGTCTGTTTATTATGCCCCCACGCACAACAGGAAAGGTCTGCCTCTATGCCCCCCACAAAGTCATTGTAATCTGAAGATAACCTAACAAGGTTTAAGACTGGGGCGTGCTCGATTTGATACGAAATGATTATTTCCCTCTGGCTGTGCTCAGCCTTCCCCAGCTAGAGTGAGGTCTGGAAAAATGGCATTTACGATGGAAGAGAATGGCTAAACAACTCCATGGGGGAGGAGGAAAGGAATTTTCCCCTTCTTTGAACGCAGCAGCACCGTATATAGACACGGCTCGCAACTAGTCACAATCCCACCCTTTCAAAATGCAGTCTCACGGTACAAACAAAACCCCACATCACGTTAGATAGGAGGATAAAAGCACAGAGCCTCTTCACCTACCCTGGGTGTCCAGCACTCACAAGGGCCATCCTCCAAACCCTGCCAGACCCACAGGAATAAACAAAGCCACCCATGTGACGGCTGACTTCCGACTCCCCCACCTCTTCCAGGAGAGACACAAAGTAACTCCCTCCCTTCCTCTTCTTCTGCAGCCTATCAGCCTTCCAGCGGATCATGTGCTGGGATCCGGAGGGCAGCTGGAGCGGAAGCACTTAGCGGATGTGTTTAGGTTCCTTTGCTGCAAGCAGCAGAAGCAGGAAATAACCCCACTTTTGCTTCAGATTTGGTGGGTCTGGACCTAATAGGATGTGTGGGGGTTTTTTTTTTGCATTGATCCTTTTCTGAGAAAGAAGGAGAGGTGACAGGCTGAGGAGACTCCTGCAATCCCCGGATCCGTCCTAGGATGCTCTTTTAGGAGCATGTCACGGTGGGGAATGGGGCTAGCTACAGAGGTACGGGCTGGTGCGATGGTTTCTTTTTCTGAAGACTGCATGGCACGTTGGCTTAGCAAAGGTTCCCTCTCTAAGCTAGAATGCTCTGTTAGATTCCCTCCGTTTCCTGCTAAATATCTGAGTAAAGATAGTTAGGTGGTCCTAAGTGTAGCTGTGTTTGTATTTTCGGGTGAGAGAACCCCCTCAAAAGTGTACCTCCTAAACAGCTCTGTTTAAATAGTTGCTCACGAAGGAAGAGCTGCGGCTTTTCTTTCTGTGTTCGGTCCTAGACTTCTTGTTAGGATTTAAGCCATAGTGCTTTTCTTTTAATAACGTTCTTCCAACTTCTCCAGAGTCTTCCCAAACTAGTTTGATTTGCAGCTGAAAAGTGCAGTCCTGAAAAAATTAGTTTATATCTGGAGGTTCTTTTCATTCCCCAGATAACAGGAAGTGGAGTGATTGGAGGATAAATAAGAAAAAATCTAGGGAAAATCTGAACCTGCTGTAGGTAGAACGAGAAGAGGGAAAAAATCCAGCAGTTCCAGAGCACAGCAGTGTTAGCAAAGGTGCATATGGGAATGGTGCACTTTATGTCAATGGTGTGGCGAAGGCTGCTGAGGAAACGTTGGGTCCTTGGTATTGTATTTGGACTCTCCCTCATCTATTTCCTTACCAGTACCTTCAAACAGGTCAGTATTGCCTTTCTTCTTTCCCCCTTGCTGCCTCATTTCACTCCTTCTCTGTAGATCAAGGCCCAATCCCCCAGAAATACTTAATGCCAAATATGGTGCTTATTACTACTGGAAGTCCTCCCATTGTATGACCACACATTATAGTAATTGCTGCAGGTTTGGACCTCTTGTCTCTGAGCTCCTTAAGGCAGAAAATACCCCACGCCCTGTGTAAACTTGCAGTAAAAAGTCTGGGATTTTAAACATGATTTCTGTTGCAGTTTGTAAATTATTTACAATGTTTTGCAGAGAGACTTAAAATAATATGCTGATGTACTATTTTTGTAAAACTTGCATTAATGATGGATCTCAAAATCTTATTCTAGGGTTCCTTTTGTTCAGCCCGCCTCATCAGTAATATTTAAGGGGACTGTGCGGAGCCTAAATCTGAAATTTTGTGCAAAGGGAAAGTTTTACATCAGCAATGTGTTCATGGAATCTAAAGGGCAACTGAAAAATGTTATGGGATCAAAGAGTCCTCTTGTGATGTCTGCTGTGAACCACTATTCCACCCAGGATAGCAGCATTGTGTATGGCTCAGGAGGGAGAAAAAGTGTCACTAGCTGCTCCAAGCAATGTCCCTAATGGTTTATTACAATCTATGCATGTGTAAATCTGTTCCAAGGATTGGGACCTCAGTGAGCTGCAAAAAAAAAAAAAAAAAAAGGCAAATATAAATGGTGAAAACTAATGAGAGTACTTAACTCCTTTGGGTAACGTTAAAATGTCTACATCTGTGAACTGTTTATTTTTTTTAATGAACTAACCATCTATTATTAAAGACCAGGGAATTTCCCTTCCCTTGTAAATGATCTCTGTTCAATTATCCATGTAATTTAAATCTTTGTTTAAAGAAAAATATATTCTTCTGATGGTGATACTTGCCGTAGAATTGTTATAGTCTTACGATAAGTCCAATGTAAGGCCCACATTTCTTGACATCTGTTCTTTTTTAAGCAATGCCCACATAAAACCTGGATTGTTTTATTCTTTTGGTATGCACAGCAGATGTAAAAGTAAAGAACAACAAAAGATCTGGTAGCACTTAATAGACTAACAAAACATGTATATGGTATTTTTGTTGTTTTTTAAGTTTATCCTGTACAGACTAACTCGGCTACCCCCTGAAGCAGATTTAAAAGTGCATTCTATAATATGATTTTCCAAAGGCAATCCAAATGTTTTATAAATCTGGCCATTGTTCTTGATTTGTCTCCATTACATATCACAACATCTCTATTTTAAGCGAGTAGAAAAAGCAGCTTTGAATGCCTGGAGGATTAGCAGATTTTGTTTCAGTGATTAGAGTCGGGATTCTTAGTTTCAGAATCTGCCATAACTGCCCAACTGACTTCCTATATGTTAAGCTAAGCCAATTTTTTTACAAGTGGCCAGTGATTTGGGATGTCAGAGATCCTCAGAACCTGATTTTCAGAGGTTCTGAGAAACTGCAGTTCTATACGACTCCAGTTCAGGTCAAAAAAGGGCTGTATCAGTGAAAATTAAGCCCAGCATGTCTCAGATTGGGCACCCAAAGTTAGCAGACGTTTCTGGGAAAGCTAGATTTAAATACTATCCTCCTCATTTTCTCCCATCCTTAACCTGGGAACAACAACATTTAGTAAACTTGTCAGGAGTAGGTTGCAAGGCTTAATTTAAAGTGAATGTTGACAAAGTGCTTTGGGTTCCTTGTATAATTGCACATTTTATTGTGGTTGGTGACCCTGTTTTGTAAAGAAGACTGATGGCCGGTGGAAAGGAAAAAGAGAGAAGATGGCAAAATAACTTTTAATACATGTTAGTTACTTAGTGAAGGGAATGCTACTTTTATGGTATAAAATAATGTCTGAGTTATGACATGTTAAATAGTCCTGCTATTAATATCTACAACTCCCTTTATCTTCATTATGTTGGTTTAATGTTATACGCAGTATATGGTAAACTAGTGTCTCTGACTGTTGGAGCGATAGCTCATGCTGCTTTAGTTTCTTGCAGTTTCACCTCTGTATTGGAAATTGCAACAGTTACGAGCTCAGCAGAGTGAAGGGTGCATAGAGTTGAGTAAGAGACAGGAACTGCATGTTAACTTCCATTGCTGTGTTTCACTGCAGGAAGAGAGGACGGTACACGATCGGAATCTTCTCCAAGTTCAGGAACATGAGCCCATCGTCTGGAAAGTGCAGTTCAGCCTGGGTAACAGCAGTCAGCTGAGTAACCAGTGCAGAAATTCTGTTCAGGGGAAGCTGTTCATTACAGACGAGCTAGGTAAGATCAATGATCAGAGCCTCTCTGGTAAACCAAGATTCTCAGCACTGTGTGTACTCTCTTTGCTGATAGCAATTCCTTCCACGCTCCTACATTCCCATAAGAGTAAATTCTTCTCTTGTGGAAATGTCTGATACTCTTTCCTTACAGTGAGTACTACCTGGAATTGAAGCCAGGCTGTTCAGTAATGGCAACAGGTAGATCTGGAATGAATGCAGTTATCCGAACAGCACTCCAGACATAATTGCCTACATTCCCGAACACTCTATGGGTATGTCTAGACTACATGCCTCTGGCGACAGAGGCATGTAAATTAGACTACTCGACATAGGCAATGAAGTGGGGATTTAAATATCCCCCGCTTCATTAAAATAAAAATGACTGCCGTGTTGTGCCTGCTCAGCTGATCGTCGACACAACACGACAGTCAAGACGCAGATCAGTCGATGAGGAGAGCCTTTGCCAACGATCCCTTATGCCTCCTGAAAAGAAGTTTACAGGATCAGTCGGCAAAGGCTTTCCTCGTCGACCAGTCCATGGCAGTGACCACAGAGGCATGTTGAAAATGAAGATTTGCCTCCAGCATAGGAAAGATTTGCCTCCAGCAAATGAAGATTTGCCTCCAGCCTAGGAAAATGAAGCGTCGATTTAAATAATCGCCGCTTCATTTAAATTTAAATGGCTGCTGCTTTGAGCCGATTAGCTGTTTGTCGGCTCAGCGCAGTAGTCTGGACGCGCGGGGGTCGACATCAAAGGCATTTGTCGACCACCCAGGTATGCCTCCCTATATGTCATCTGGAGACAGTGTTCTATTGTAGGGAAGTAGCATGTGAAACAACATTTCCCACAGCAGAAGAATTTACGCTAGTGGAAATTTACTTGACATTTGAATTTAGTCAGGACTTCAGTAATTTCACTTTTATGTATTTTTAAGAGTGCCAGACTTGGAATTTGGCTAAGTATTGCCTTGGAGAAATGAGTAGAATACTTTCTGCAGGATTTAGTTTCTGCAGAACCTAAAAGGACCCATCTAAGTTCTGAAGATGACCCTAGCCCACCTTAGTTTTTGAGGGCAGATGTACACTAGGGATGTGTACATGGTTAACATTCATGGTTACACGCAGGCTCCCGGTACATGCTGGGAGATAGATTAAAAGCCATCTCTTCACATATCCTGGCTCCCGGGGGCTGCCTGCCTCCCTCCCCCTGCACTGCTGTATCACAGGCAGGAGTGCAGGGGAGCCAACTTTTAAGTCAACTCCCTGCATGTACTGGCTCCAGGGGGCTGCCTGCTTTGTCCTCTCCCTCTTCACTGCTGCTTCTGTATCAGAGGCTGTAGCTTGGAGGGGTGTGTGTGTGGGAGCTGGTACGCATGGGAGGGACATCTTAAAAGCTGGCTCCCCTGTGTTGCTTTCTCTTAAAAGCTGGCTCCCCACCCCTCACTTGCAACAGTGTGGGGGGCAGATGGGAGCCAACTGCTGCCCCATGTGTAATTGTGTAAACTGCTGAAATTCTCAGCGGTTACACGGTTACTTAATTACATACATTGTACACTATGGCAGTGTTTCCCAATTGGTGCTCCGTGGAACCCCAGGGTTCCGCAAAGTGAAAGTAAGGGTTCCGCGAGAACGCAGCCTTGCCCTGCCCCCTCTTAAAGAGACAGAGTATTTTGCAGGTTTTTTTGCTCAACCAAGTCTGGTGGGGCTTTTTTTTTTTTTTTTTGCTTGCCAAATTTTACTCTGGGAACCCTAGGGGTTCCTTGAAATTATTTTAAGCTGAAAAGGGTTCCGTGGCCAAATAAAATCAGGAAACACTGCACTATGGGGCAATGCTAAGCTACGGTGCACAACTCCGGCTATGTGAATAGTGTGGCTAGAGCTGACAATACCATAGGTAAAATTGCTGCAGGGTCTCAACTGTGGGGGTCAATGGAAGAAACTCTCCCATGGACTTCGTTTTCACGTCTCATTCTGGGGGAATACCGGAATCCACGAGAGAGCAATCAGCCGTCAATTTAGCATGTCTTTACTAGGGATGTAAAATCCCATTTAATTGGCTAACATGTTGTTTAACCAGTTAACTGATTTAATGGGGACCAGGAGGGGGGCTGCACCTATCTACCACTGGGCTGGAACACATTTCCTCCCCACTGTAGGCAAGAGTAGCTCCAGCCTAGCCAGATCAGTTCCTGCCCATGTTGTTCCCTGCCACTGGCAGGGCCTGCACCAGCCAGGACACCAGAGCAGCCCCTGTCCTCTGTGGGCCCCCTTCAGGCCTGGAGCTGGCTGTCAGCTGCTCCTGCCCCATTGGTTAACCTTAACCGGTAAGCCTAACCCATTAAGGGTGAGGCTTAATGGTTAACTAATTAAATCTTCACATCTCTAGAATTTACTAGACCCACTAAACCGATACTGGGATGCCTGATTGCTATGATCTTTGGGTAGGTGGGGGTCCACCCTGAGATCTGACTGGTTCATAATGTGAGGTGGCGCAGCTGTAGTCTAACTACCTTAGTTCCTTTTTGTGTTCAATTGAACAGAGCTCTAAGGCCACTGGCCACTCACCCTTATCAAATGGTCATTGTTAAGTTGTTTGAATATATCTAGCTGTACCAACCATTATCCTGCCCCCAAATATATGGCATTATGAAACATTTTGGAAGCGTGTGAGTTTTGATCCTTAGAATGTATTTTAGTACAATGTATTTTATCTACAAATTGCTGAGTTTTGAGACAGACTGGCCAAGAGTGATTATTTCCAAAGGGCATCTGCTGGGCCACTTGGGTGTTGAGGGATAGCAGCATTTCTCAAACTTGCCCATTCTCAGATGACAGGGTCCTGAACATGTGCATGCTCTCTCTCTTTCAGTCCCATTGCTTTACTTCACCCTGCTCCAACAGAAGGAGCACCAGAGAGACTTCTGTAAATGGCTTCTATTTCCTCTGTTTTTCAGGCTACATCTGTGAAAGGAAGGACCTGTTGGTGAACGGCTGTTGTAACGTCAATGTGCCTAGTACAAAGCTCTATAGTTGTGACAGCTGCCTGCCCAACGGTTGTTGCAGCGTGTACGAGTACTGCGTTTCCTGCTGTCTGCAGCCCAACAAGGTACATGAAAAGCCAGCAGCGCTCCATGTGCTTATGCTGTTCAGTCGGCTGAGCATCCTAATTTGCTAACTGGCCAAGTGTGCCCTTGTCATTGGGGAGCCTGAAAACAGGGAAAACCTGCTAGGACCATGTAAGAAATTGTCTTACAATAACAGCTAGGGTTGTGTGTGTGTGTGTGGACAATGGAAAGTCCATTTTGCCAGGGATTTTGAGATTTCTTCATTCCGGCTAAAGAAGAGACTGGTACTTTTTCAAAATTCTGTAGGAAAGATTTTTTTTTAAATGCATTTGTAACCATCCTCCCTGCAAGTTATAGTGCTTTCTTTGGGCAGCATTGGGTAGTCAGTACGTCTGTCAGCCTTTCTACCCAGCTACACAGGTCCCCATCAAGGAGGAAATGACATACCAGAAATCATCTGGCAGCCCTGGCCTTTGGTGGTGCACTACAGACTCTAAGGCACTGGCCCTCTTTCAATGGGCGAAGCTTTTCAGCAGTCTGTGGCCCTCTGCCTCCCGGCTTGGGCATGTAACCATAAGTTAGGGCCCTGGCCCACTCTGCTTGGGCAGAGCAATTAAACAGTTTATAGCCCGTAGCCTCCTGGATGGGGCAAATAGCAAGAATTAAAGTTTTTGGTGCTAGCCTTCTGGCCTAAAGGTTAGTGAAGTGCCAAACAGCGCCCACCCACCCTGTTTCACCAGGTCCCGGCTCAGGGCCCTAGCTATGGGTGGAGAAACATGTGGTTGCTATCTCACATCCCAGCAACAAAACTGGACCAGAATCTTGTTTCCCTGGGCTACTTCTTACCAACTGTTCCTGCTTCGTTGCCATTAGGACCTGGCTCTCAATCTTGTAATCAAGCAGCCTTTCCCCCGTCTCTTCCTCTTGCATCTCCTGGGGTAGTGGGTTGCCTTTTCCACTTTCAGGCTCTCTCTCACCATTAAACTGCAAGCTTATGTCCTTTGACTATCCTAACATTCAGATACCTACCCTATAGAGATGCAGATCAGACCAGATGTGCATCAAAACTGGCATCAGACTTTCAAAGGGAAGGACTTCTTCTTTGTTGCTTCTCTGTGTAGTGTTTAACTCAGCAGCAGGACTAGAGTGAAGCTGAGAAGGTTGCTACTGCTTCCAGCATGTCAGGTTAAGTGCTGTGTGCCTACTTTTTGGCCTTTGTCCTGGGGATGCACTGTGTGTGTAACAGAAAAGGCATGATTCTGGGCTGCTGAATGAGCTCTCTAGGAGGAACGTCTGTCTCCTCCGGTCTGGCCACAACTGTAGAGTCCTATACATCCATGGATATCTGCAGGTATCTGCTTCTGCATATGAAAATGTGCTTAGCTGCAGATTCTTTTTATAGATACGGATACAGATACCAATTTTGTATCTAGAACCCTGCAAATTTGTGGATATCCACTTTATAGCTGTGGGTATCCACATCCATGGATGTGGCTGCGGATATCCATGGCTCACTTTTGCCGATGCAGATGCGGATGTAGATACACCTTTTCTAACCACACTGGTTCTATACAATTGAGCTGCACTGCTCTTTTCTTATACTTCCTGCAAGAGGAATGGAGTGGATTGGGTAGTAACTCTCTCTATATGGAAGAAAAGCCACTTTGCCTTACCACACCATTATTTTGGGTTAAATTGATACATTTCCTCTTGATAAGATTAAAATGTTTCCATTCGCCTTTTTAATATAATATAAAACTTAAAAAAAATAAATTTTATATAATACAACATTTTTAAAAAATCAAAACAAAAAGTCATTTCCAAAGAGAGAAAAATCAGTGTTTCATTCCAGCTGTTTTTGGATACTCCTTTTTTTCTCCAAAATAAAATGTTGGCAAAATGACATGATTTTTGTGACGTATTCTGACTTTCATCGAACTGTTTTTCAGTGAATACAGTTCTGTGAAAGTTTTTTCCAACCAACTATAGTAACAACCATGTCTTATGCTTAGATCCCTGTGCAGATACAAAATTTATATCTATATCCACACAAATGACCCCCAGATATACACATCTACATCTGTGGATATAGATACCTGTGGACATAAAGTGGATATCCATGGATTTGCATGACTCTACTTATGCTTCTACTACATCTGTTATCCCAGAAAAATCTAATTATAACTTTCCACTGCTTGTGAAACTTCTTTTTGGACACTTATTAATAACCGAATGTCTGGAATGTGGGATGCCAACAGATGTCACTGTTAGACTGCAAATTTATGCCCTTTGATTATTCTGGCATTCAGATTAGGGATGTAAAATCCCAATTAACTGGTTAACCAGTTAAACATAGTGTCTAGCACTTTGTTTAACCAGTTAACAGATTAAAGGGGGGGACAGGAAGGGGAGGTGATGCTGGTTACCCATTGACTTCCCTAATTCAGATGCAGATCAGGTGTGCAACAAAACTGGCATCAGACTTCAAAGGGAAGGACTGCATCTTTGCTGCTCCTCCAAGTAGTTCTTAACTCAAGGTGAAGGTGGCAGCAGTGCTAGAGTGGAACTGAGATGACTGTTGCTGCTTTCTGTGTCAGATTAAGTGCCACGGGCCTGCTTTTTGGCATTTGTTTTGGGGATGCACGGTGTATGTAACAACAGAGGCATGATTCCGTGCTGCTGAATTAGCTTGGGAGTAATGTCTAGTAGCAGGGGATGTTGGCTTGGGCAAACACAAATCGACTTACTGCCTCCATCCCTGTAGCGTCTGAGTTGTAAGCACTGATGAAGCATCTCATGAAGTATCCCTATTTTACTGATGAGGCATCAGAAGCTGGGAGGGACTTTGAGTCAGGAAATGAAACCAGATTTCCTTCTTCTACCTTGGAGCAATGGCCACCAGACTGTTAATGATCCTTGTTTGTTGGCACTGCAGCACTTGACTATATTCCACTAAGCAAGCACAATCCAAGGCCACTTTGAATTCAATCATTAACAAATGGAGAATGCATTGCTAGCAAACTTCTAAGAAGAGAAAGTAACAAGAACAGTTTGGAGAAACTGTTCTGCTGTCACCTTAATAGTCCAACTCCCAGTTCAAAACCCCTCAAAAAATAAACAAAAAAAATCCACCGTTCTCCATTCCCTTTCCTTAACTAGCTGACTTGGATGCTTATTTTTTCTGCCTTTCTCAGCAACTGCTCCTGGAGCGGTTCCTAAACCGTGCAGCTATTGCTTTTCAGAACCTCTTCATGGCAGTGGAAGACCACTTTGAGTTGTGCTTGGCCAAGTGCAGGACTTCATCCCAGGTCAGATGCGGTGGCATGGGAAGGGTGGTGTTGATGTATGAATGTATATTTCTTATACATACATGTTTGTGGGCTCATGTTCTTGTTCTAATCAGTCCGACTTGGGGGAATATGTGAGCAGCTTTCTCTCTAAACTAGGGGCATGATGCTCTCCTAGAGCAATGTAGAAACGGACACTGATTTCTTCTTAGCACTAGGGACACACCGTAAAGGGAATTCTAAGCTGGAATGTGGCCAATCAACTGTATTAGTATGCCTGTTTTCCCAGCAGCTTTAGCAATCCTGTATTGTTTACTTCACAGTACAATACATCTGGGTAATCACCTCTGTAAGTCTGCTGACTATAGAAATTTTAACTGATGTTAAAAATACACAAACCAGTGCTGGGTACCTGTAATTGAAACCACCGCCAATTCAAGGCTTCTTGGTTAGCAGAGTCTTGTTCTAAGCAGACACTCTACCTGTTGGAAGGGGGTGGTGAGGGTGATGCTTCCACCTGTGTAGGATGCACTTAAGCAGATGCTCCTGCTATAAAGTAAAGATGATGCCTGCACCATAAATCAAGGATAATTGATCCAAATGTCTCTAGAGCATTGAGGGAGAAACGCCTTTGTCTCTAGCCCGGATTTGTTTTGTTTTTCCTATGACATTTGATTAGAATGTGTTCCTGGGAACTTGAGCAGTCTGACTCCAGCCCACTTGGTATTTAATTCTGGCTACACTTCAGCAACAGAATGGTGTAAAGTTGCAACTAAATTTTTTTAAGTTATGTTAGAATACCTAGATACCAAGATGGCGTGCCTGTGAAATAGTCATTGGCATATAATAGGGATGTTAGATGTTGTTTAATTTAATAATCATGTAACCGCATCAAATTTTAGTGTTTACATGATTATTTGATAGTCCCTGGGGGCAGGGCTGGCAGCCAGTGTGCTCCGCAATTTGTGTACCTTTTTCCAATGGTTTTGTTGGAAGAAGCTTTTCCGAAATCCATCTACACTGGTCCAAATTTCAGAAAAGCCTCCTCTTTTGGAAGAGCCCTTCTTCCTCGTGGGAGGAGGAAGACGGGGCTTCCGAAAGAGCACATCTGCTCTTCCGCACAAAAAAGCGGAAGAGCAGACGTGTTCCCTGGACACAGCGGAGTTTTTCTGGGATACCAGGAAAATCCAATAGTGTAGACATAGCCTCTGATCCATAGGCAGCAGTACATGGCAGCAAAAGGCCCTGTTCACTGGGGGTCCAAGCTCTCTGCAGACAGGGGCTGTTCTAGCATTCCGCCAGCCACCTCTCCCTCCCACTGCCTATGTGGGAGGCTGGAAGGAGTGGGGGCAGGCAGTTCCGCAGCATTGGCATGCTTGGAGAGCCATCTTAAAAGCCAGCTCCCCACGTATATCAGCTCCTGCCAGCTACCCCCTCCCCATGCTGATACAGAGGCAGCAGTGTGAGGATGGCGGGGCAGGCGGCTCTGCAGGATCCAGTGCTTGAGGGGAGCTACCTCCTTGCAAGCACCAGCTCTGCCTTCCTCTGCTTTTTTTTTTTTTTTCTTTAAAGTCTTAGGGCCAGAGAAAGAACCGAAGGTTTTCTTTGGTTTTTTTTGTTTTGTTTTTTTTAAACGAGAACTAGAACTACTACTAACACTACAAGGCTAACATCCCTATCCTATAAACACCTCTGCCTTGTGTGGAAGAGGAGTGAGGTATTTTACACTGGAGAGCTGCTTTTTAGTAACACATGTTCCTAAGGGCTGTTCCTAAGGGCTTTTCCTTCTCTTCCCAACAGAGCGTGCAGCACGAAAACACATACAGAGACCCCGTTGCAAAGTACTGCTACGGCGAGTATCCCCCGGAGCTTCTGCCTGTTTGAAAGCTGCCTAATCGGAACTCGTGTGGGGAAAGCAACCTGGGGATTTGTGTCTAGAGCAGCAAGACAAGAGCTGCTCATCCAAGAGCTTAAACTCTCCTCCTGAGATTTCCAAAGACAAAGAGAGCGATTTACAGTCTAAGCTTCGGATTTATTTCTTTGGGAAAACCTCTCCTATTTAGATGGAAAAACACTGTAGACCTGCCATGGAGGGGTGGGAGGAAATCCTTTGAAGGGTTAATCTAGTTGAAGGGCTACCTTTTAGGATGCACACAATGGATTTGATCTATAGATCAGCTTAGAAAAGGACATAATAGAGCTTTCATCTGTACATTGAAGTTAAACGATATCCCCAAAGAACATGGACTTTAGACTAACTGCTGGAGATATGAAGAAGGATTTTTTGTGCTTAAAAGGTAAAGAATCCCTATTGAGCTTATCTCTTGGAGGACCTTTCAGCATCCATAATGCAGCCTTTATACGTAACTATGAATTATTTATTGGGTTTATGTGGAATTGCTGAAAATATTGATGCTTCTTGTAGCCATTGGCTGACTCCTTTCAATCCATAGATTATCTCCGAGAAAAGCATCCTTCATCTTGACCAAAATCACTCATTTCCCTCTTCTGTCAGGGTTTTTTTCTACTCATCATCATGGTGTATGTGTGCCTTCCAATTTAAACAGGCCTAGCCAAGTCTCCTTTGGAATGCATGGAGCCTTTGGTTCCTATATCATGAAAGAGAAAAGAGAACTCTGCATGTTTTTGTGAGTGGATGCATTTGCCGTCTTGGTTAGAGAAGTTTAACCCAAGAAGAAGTACTGAGGTTTCTGCTGCTTGTATTGCACACCACCATAACTCCAAAACTCTTCACTCCTGGTTGTGCAGCGCACGAAGCAAAAGGACCGAGGTGTTTGGGAATCCTGATTTTAATGAGATCCTGATGTAATTAGACTAAAATGTCAGGATTTGTGGTTCTAGCCTTCCTCTGAAGTTAGATTAGCAGCCAGTTTTGCAGTAGTTCTATTAACAGCTTATTAATGATATTCCAGCATGGGGTTGTGACCTTGCTGCTCGGAGGACCCTCTAGCCTGAGATGTCAATCTAATTAATATGCTAATTGAATACAATGTTGGTTCCCCCTGCAGTTTCCTATCACTCCTGTAGGCTGCAGTTTAAATGATGCCTCTGTGAGGCCAGTCTACAAGAAGAAAGTTGGGAGAAAGGTTTTTCCATTGCTTCTAAATGCTGAGCAAATTTATGTTTTCTGAAAGTCAAAGTCCCAGGACTGAGGCAAACTATGCTGTTCTAGTGTATATAACAGCTCACTCCTAGTGTCTTCTGCCTTTATCATATCTGTGCACCTAGTGTTCTGCCAATGTTTTTGACTTTATGCTCATGAATGTTAATCAGTACCTCTTATTTCTTCCTTGGGATAAAGCAATTTACTCAATTAAGAAATGAGACTAATGTGGCCAGTATTCTATGACATCCCTTTGTTAAAATATTATTTATTCCATTGTAGGGTATTCTGTTGTGATAATCATTAAACTGTATGTGGCATAAGTGAAAATTAAAAAATTATGATACGTGAAATTGTGAAAATTCACTTGCATTTTTTCCTGCATTCTTTTCCAAAAGATTTCAAGTGAGATAAGGTCTTGGAAAATATAATATGCATGCCACCAAGTCCCTATGAAAAGTCTTAAAATTTATATCTCATGGATCTGTGACAGCAGTTTTATCAACTCATATCAATCCCTTTCTCCTATTTGCTGCCTTCCGATGGCAACTTGCTCCAACAATCATCACAGTATACAAGGTTATACCCTGGAAAGTGCTTTTGGTGGGCTCGGGGAAGCATGATTATGGAGGCATGGCAACTGCCCGCTGATGGGCAGATATAGCTATACCAATAAAGCTATATTGGCTAAAACCCTGAGTGGAAATGCAACTTTTAGGACTACAGTAAAACTCGGATGATCCGGCATCTGATGGTCTGGTACTCCTGATGGTCCGGCACCATTAGGAACCCAGAAGTGCTCCGGGCAGCCGGACCATTGGAGCTGCTCTGCCCCCAGCTTCCCCGATTCAGCCGCTGCTAAAAATGACCAGTGGTCGAAACGGGGAAGG